ACAGACACACACACACACACACACACACACACACACACACACACACACACACAAAGACAAACAAGTAGAATATAAATAATAAATATTAATAATAATAAAATATATATGCATCTGTATGAGTGTATGTATATATACATATGTATGTGTGTATGTGTATGTATATAGATTTTTTTTTTAAGATTACGTAAAGCTATGTAATAATCAATGCTGCATACTCCGGTAGAGTAGGTGGCGGTATGCACCTGACAAGTTATGATTGCAATCCGCCATTAAACTAAAAGAAGAAGAAGTCTGGCGCTACTGGGCATGCGCACATCAATACAGCGTAATTTTTAGTCACACTGTAAAACAATAATTACTATTTTTTTGGTTTGTAATTGATGCATCGAGAAAACGAGTGAATCGTTACACCCCTATTGCTAAGGTATTCGATTGTAGGTGGTTGCTATTACGTATAGAAAGATAGAAAGATCATAATATATTAAAATAATATAACAAAAAAGTAATTTGAAATAGTTAATGTACTTTTTTTATGTGACCACTTAGTAGTGTGACAGCTTTTTGCAGTGCAGGTCATGAGTCTGAATGTGTGTGTGTGTGTGTGTGTGTGTGTGTTTTTTTTTTTTTCATTATTGTAAGGGGTAGGTTTAGGGTTGGGGTAGGTGTAGACGTTAATAAAACACAATCTAATAGGTAGAAAATTAATTTCATTGTTCGTTTCCGGTCGGAGCTGTATCCCTTCTTGCCACAACCCAGCAACACACAAAACCGATCGAACGGAAGATCAGAAAAGATTGCTTAGACTGACTAACGTGAACTTACCCTTTAGCCAGAAAGTGAGTCATGTCGGTGAATTACGCCGCGGGACTCTCTCCATATGCGGATAAAGGCATCTGCGGCCTCCCGGAGGTGATGTTTACATTTGTTGCCGTTAGCCGGCTAAGTTACGTTAGCTAGAATTAGCTTCATTTAGTGCACATTAGCGTCATATTTAATATATGCTTTACGAAATGTACTGTTATTCTCTATGTAAAGCTATTTCAGTCTCTGTAGACATACGTGTGTAAAGAATATGACAACTGTACGGTTCGTTTCGCTACCAAATAAACCAGAACAAAAACATTAGGCAGTTGCTGAATGAATATGCTAATTATAAAAACATGAAGTCTTTATTTGATTTTACCACAGTGAAGGAGGAAACCATGTGATAAAAGTCACCTTTTGAATAATTTAATATTTATTTTTTAATAAGAATCGCATTTTTTCCCGCCAGGTAACAGTTCACTAGCACAACTCAGAGCAGTTAAGTTCTTGTTCGTTGTTCTCAACGGCTGTTTATGGTTGCCAAGCAACGCCATTAATTTTAAGTCAAATGAGCTATTATCGAACAATATAATGTTATAACTACAACACAATAATATATGGTTACGGCACTGATCTATAATAGAAAAAAATTGATTCTTAGTTATATGTATATTATATATTTGTATGCTTAATATGTGCTTTATAAATAGTACACTATGTCAGATAGATAGATAGATAGATAGATAGATAGATGATATTGAATGCTGAATAGTTCTGAAAGGTTGCTAAGTAGGGCTGTGAATCTTTGGGTAGACAGCGAATCGATTAGATTCACGATTCATAGGTTTTCGATTCGATTCAAGAACGATGTTTGCAAATTCACAACGGTTCGATTCGATTCACAATTCAATTTGATTCGATTTGATTAACGATTCGATTCTGCATTCTTTAAGTGCATTCACAGGATTATTTAAATGCTTCCCTTAAATTCTTTAAATGCTTAGTCAGGGGGCAAATTACACAGCTGCCTTTATGGTTAGAGAACCATAGGTTAGGAAAAAAAACACTTTTGTCTATTGTTAGATGCTAGTTTAATGATGCTATGGCATGACATGGCATATGTAGAAATTTATGTAAGCCAAGATTTTAAAAAAGAGCAGAAATGTCAAATACAATCATTTTATGTATGTACGTAATATGTATTATTATTAT